CCCCCCCCCAAGGGAGCCTTCCCCATCCCCCATCCCCACCGTGGCAACTCCACTATAGCCAAAGGGAAGGAGGATGTGGAATTGAACAGGTGCTGGGTGGGGCAGGGGCAGCACAGGTCTTGAGGCGGCCGCCCAGACACCTCCTGAAGACCCCTGTCTTATCAGGCCACATCTGTGAGTCAGGGCACATCTGACCCAACAGGGCCTTGGGGTTTCCAGTACAGAGAAGGGGCAGGCCTCAGGCCAACAGCACCCAGGAGATGCAGAGAGCTGGTGTTGAAGCATCTCCACGGATGCGTGTGCTCATGAGGGAGACCCAGGTCAAGGCTTGGGCCAGGCCACCTGCCTCCTCCAAGAGGCAAGAGTCCCCGAGGCTCTGCATCTGTCCCCGGTGAGCACCCCAGCATGTAGCCACCCTAGGGGCAGCAGCAGCTCCCCAAGGGTCCGTTGACTCAGCCTCTGTGAGCTCCATGGCCTTGTCTGAGAACTGCACTCGACATGCAACTCCGCCAGCCCCCTGGTTGGTCCTGACTCTTGACCCTCTTACACACCCCAGTCTCCAGCCACGACCCCGAGCCAAGGTCTGCTGCCGGGAAGTCCTTGGTCAGCCTCTTCTGAGGCCCTATCACAGGGACCACGGAGCTCTGAGCTAACCACCACCCCCGACAAACTCGCACACAAGGTTAACAAGGGCAGTGACAAGGTCAGGGAGTGTCACCTCTGCTGAGCCTTGTTAGGCAAATGGGAGTTGCCACCTGTGATGAGCTGTGTGCCGGGAGGAGGAATCTGCCTGACCACCAATACCTGGCCCCCATCCCCAGCCTCAACATCACCATGGTGCCCTGCCCAGCGATGTTCCAGGACACAGCACCCCAGGAGACCCGGGCATAGGCACCAGTAAGGCCAGTGGGACCCAGCTCCCCCTCCCAAGAGCACAACTAGCACCCCACAACCCCAACAGGTTGAGGGCAGCCACTCTGGACAGTACTTTATTGAGTTCCTCAGACCCCTGGGCAGGATCACACAGATTCCTGGGGCACTGGCACTTCCCACCAGCGCTGGCCTGTGCCTGGTCTGCCATCCCTGAGCAGGGCAGGAAGGAGCCCCATGAGGGCAGAGAGGCCTTCCGGGGGAGGGGGGCGTGGCTGGGAGGAGGCAGTGGACAGCCGAGCCCCCTCCCTAGCACACAGGTGGGTGATGGGCCCTGGCCATCGGCAGCGAGGACCTGCTGTGGAGCAGCTCAGGCCCCGACCACCGGGGCCTCGTAGTTGAGCACGTAGTAGTCGTGGACATACATGAGCACGGCCACTGGCTGCCCAATGATGAGCGTCAGCCACACAGCTGCGTTGCCGTAGTTTCCCTGGAAGAAGCGGCTCACTATCCATGCCAGGGGTATCTGGGGACACATACCCCAGGGGCCACAGTCAGTGGGCCATAGTGACCACAGGGCTGGCGGCTCCCAGGGCAGCGGGAGAGGGTGGCTGCAGAGGGAATGCTCACCTGAGCCATCATGCCTGTGAAGGCCCAGAGACGGAACATGTGCAGGGGGATGCTCACCAGGTACTGCAGGGGGAGTGAAAGGATCAGCTGCCACTTCAGGACACACACACACA